TTTCTTGGACTCATCCGACACATGTGTCGTTATCGGTGCTTAAAACTGTTTGTTAAAAAAAAAAAAAAAAAAAAAAAAAAAAAAAAATCCACTGGAAAATATGACTACAGGAAACAAAAGATTAAGCTATACACAATTCAGTATAAACTAGGAGTGTTAAACTACACCAAAGTGCATGGAAACAGAGCAGCAGCAAGGCATTTCGGTCCACCACCTGCCGAAAAAAAATAGCTTGCCGTTTTTTAATTTTCCTTAATAAAAATATATTTGGTAACTGCATTCAATGATTGTTTATTTGGCTTTTACGAAACGCGAGAACTAAAAGAAACCACATTTTTAGTTATTGTGGTTCCGCGCGAACTATTGAAACTTTTTCCCTTGTGTGTAGCCTTTTAAATAAGGGTGCGTCTTATATGCCAGTGCATCTTATATGCCGTCAAATACGGTAATTGCTTTTCTCAGCAAGAATGGGGCTGAGTTCCGGGTTGCTGGAGTTTGCAGTTTCACCAAAAGGGATATCTTCCTATTGGTCATCAAATGATTGATTCGATATTAATGCATTTAAAAATAAAGAGTTAGATACTACATACTCTATTTGTTTCATATATTTCTTTCTTTCCATTCTCTTTGGTTAACAATAGTTACTAAGCGTCTTCCTCAGCTTTTTTTCATTTTTAATGTATATTTTAATCTTAAGTCCAAGATCCGGACTTATTGGAACTTTGGTGATTCCAGATTTGGGATTTTTCTGGATATTAGATTGTCAGTTAAAAATCTAGTATGAATACATGTAGAAATTATAAAATAAAAAATATGAAATAATGAAGTATATATGAGCTTAAATAGAAATTTACACAAAAAAGTTTAATATTAATTTGTTTGCTCTATTTAAAAATTCTTTCAATGTAAGCTGTTTGTTTCCTTTTTTTATGCATTAAGATTGAAAAGTACCAGAGCCAGGATGTAATTTAAGCTCCATAATCACCTAAAGGTATTCACAACATGTTCTTTTTCAGTTTATATTAGTTAGTCGTATATTGGTTTGCCAATATACGACTAACTATATTCTCTTTATTGATAAACAAGGTGTCCTGCTGAAAAGAGGACCCAGAAATTGTAAAGTCATTGTGTAAATACTTTCCTAAATGTTATCAAATTTGGGTAGAAGCTAATCCATTACATGAGATAGTTGACATGGCTGCCCTGTGTTCTCTAAACAGTGAGAAGTGTATGAACAGGCTGTTATCGCAGGAAAGGGAAACGTAATAGTGCAAATGTCAAACAGTTGTGATGAAAGCTGACTACTATCTCTGCCAGTTTACTATCATTCATGAACTTAGAGACATCAGTCTTTAAGTGTGCGTTATGCTTTGCAATTGGTTTCAGCAATTTATTACTGAGAGACAGGAATATTACACACAGTGTTCAGTGATGAGGTGTGGTTTCACCTGTCTGGTTATGTAAAGTGTTAAAACACATGCTTATGGGGTAATGAAAATGGTTTATGGGTATACATTATTTGAACATGGAACATTATATATCTGTGGGAAGTTTGTACATAGCATTCTAAACAAAGCATTTGGTAAAATTGAAGAGCCTAGAAAAATATAAAGAAAAGTCTTTTTTATGAAGCACAAAAATGATAGACTTCAAATACTTATTGTTGATTGTTTATTATATAAAAAGGCCTCAGTTCCTTTGGAATTCCACAATGATTGGTGCACCTTTCATGAGATCTCTGCCATCTGACATAGCTCAGTGATAGCCAACTTCTGTGGTCAACAGGATAAATGCAAGCATTGAAAAAGTTTTAGGACTATAGATAAAAATTAGACATTTGGCTTTATTAACTTTACAGAAAATTTGGAAAATTTCACATATCCTTGCCCTTAAAAACATTTCTTGTTCTCTATTTAATGGTCGTTATCATAAATGTTACCAATCAAAAATACATTAATTAGCAAACCATATCTTTTAACTAATAAGGCTGTAAAATTTTAAAATACAGAAATTTAACAGAAAAGGGGGGATTGAACTAACTAAGTTTGACTTCTCCCCCTAAAATTTTAGCCATTAAGCATTTGACATATACACTGCATGTATGACATATAGTAATGTGCATAATTTAAGTAACTTTTATGATTTGGGCCATAATTCTACAAAAAAATCAACTGAGAGATGTGAAAATTTATTTACGGGGGCACAATGTAAGGATTAAAGGATGAGAAAAATGTAATAGTATAAATGGGACTCATACAGTATGGAATAATAGAAGAGGCTTTATTGACAGAATGGCACTAGGGGGGGAACTATATAGAGCGAGAACAGCAAACTAAAGAGCCTTTGTAAAGATGTGACTTCCCTAATTGCAATGGAGAGTCCTCTATGAAGGCATCCCTCCTCTAAGGTAGATAGCCCTCATGGCTTTCCCTAACATAACTTTAGTATCACACCATAGGTGGGACTTTTGCCTTAGAACAAACTCAGAACAGGTAAAATAATCAGAGAATCAGTTATTAATGTAAAAAATATATGTGGATACTATTTTTAGATTTGCCTTATACAGTCAAAAGTCGTTAATTCGGACACCCATAATCCGGACCTCAAAGCTAAAAACTTTCTGCGCATGCGCAGCGTTGACACATGCGCATAGGCGTTTACGCGTGTGCGTAAGACCTTTACGACTGCGCATATGCATGTGTGCAAGCGCAGAATACGTTTTCGCGTGTGCGTTTAATGTATAACGGATGGTATAAGCTAAAATGATCTAATTATCTATTTCAGTTAATGTTGATGATTGCGTTGTTCCTTAATCTTCAAATTGGATGCAGCTTATTATTTTTTGCAGACTGTAAGAGCAATTTTATAAAAGTAAACTTTCGATTATGTCAAATAGAATTTCCGATGCTGGAGCTCCCAAAGGATCTACAAAACGAAAGTATGTTTCGATATCCGTCAAACAAAAAGTGGAATTGCTGCAAAAAATGGATAAAGATATTAAGAAGGTGACAGAGAGGTTAGTGAAAACGAAAAAATTTCGATTGACAAGTTAGTCGGTATTCTCGGCACAGAAATTACGGGACTTGAACAGCGGAACTTTGTAACGAACAAGAAATTACGTCTGTTTATAAAGAGAAAGTATTATCACATAAAACGAAGCGACTTAAACAACTTACATTGAAAGAAATGTTTAATAAAGTAAACAAATAAATATTAAGCTTTTTTTGTGTGTGTAAATTTTGATAACCTTTAGATCATAATTGTTCTTTATTTCATAAATTACGGTTCCATATTTTTAATTTTATAATTTCTGCATGCCATCTTACCAGATTTAAACTGATGATCTATAATCCGGAATTGCCGAAGTCCCAACGCGTCCGGATTAACGACTTTTGACTGTATATTAAAATTTGATAACATGGCTGTAATATATATTCAACAAAAATTCAGAGTGCAGTTATTTTTATCATAATTTACTTATGTGACAAGAATTGTACAGAGAAATTAGTTTTTATGCAAAGCAAAGCATTTTGAATATTAAAAATATAAATGAGCATAAGACATATGGCTGATATGAAGGCAGCCGAGAAGTCAGTAAAGCATTTTGAATATTAAAATTATAAATTTAATGAGCCTAAGACATATGGCTGATGGGAAAGTCAGCCGACAAGTTTGGAACTTGAGAAGTAGCCAGAAAGCATTAATCACTTGCTTGAATTTTTGCCAAAAAAGTTGATAGCTAGCCAAGAAATGTCAAGAGAATGAGTTGATACCTTTAGGAGTGGGGAAGCATGCTGCTAGGTAAGAAATTCATCAAAAGGCATTTTGCAGTAATCTGTGTAAAAAGTTGAACATGGCAGTAGAGAAGAATTGTAAAAATGAAAATTGAATACAAGTATAATAAATAATCATGAATAAGTATAATCTTGAAATGTTTATTCATTGAAGCTAATGTTTTTTGTGACTGAGTAGAACTGTTTCATGAGTTTTTGATGAACTGTAGTTTATTAAATGCTATTTCAAAGATTATTCATAGTTTCTTTTATGATCAAATACATCTGCATTGTAGAATCTGTTATTGTAGGCATACTGAACACTGTAATGCGAGTTCTATAGTTGAACTTTTGTTTCATTGGAAACAAAAAGTACATTTAGATAATTTTAACTTGATTGTTTAATCCTGTTATCCGAGATTACATATTTGAATTCAGTTTATTACTGTAATTTAATAATTAGACTTATATATGTGAATATCTGAGCCATCCAATTATGAAAATTTATTGCGCAGCATTCCATTTAAATCCACCGAAATGCAGTTAATTGAAAATTCACTCCCTTGATTTCAGTGTATAAGTCTGAAGAATTGTGCTGAATTTCTAACAAAGTGGAGTGGCTATTTTATTCATGAACTAACTGTCTGTTTTTCATGTTAACATCAAAGCTCATGTATTCTCAGTTCTGTAGTTGTTGCTTTGATTGCATTAGTTTATTGTTAAGATGTACTTTTTAAAAAAATTTTCATTTATTTAAGGAAAAATCAAAATTTAATTTACCAGAACGTAGTTTCATTAGTTAATCAATTTTTGAAATCCATGCAGTGAGTTGACTCTATGCAGTTAAGAAGAATGTGTAAAAATTAAATTTCTGTAATTATCATGAACCATCACTCCACCCTTTGTTTGTGGAAACAGATTACAATTTGTAAGTATTGTAAGAAGAATGTGTAAAAATTAAATTTCTGTAATTATCATGAACCATCACTCCACACTTTGTTTGTGGAAACAGATTACAATTTGTAAGTATTGTGTGTGTCTTTTACTTATTTATTGACATCAGAATGACTTAATGAGATTTTCCTGAAAATAGGCAGGGAAAACATAGAAGCTTTAAATGTGTTTTCACTTTGGATTTTATTTGAACTAATAGTAAGTTGTTAAACTGTGGCATGTGTTCAGTTTGTAATAAATGAGAGATTTCAAATATATTTTTTTCATTTTTAGGAATGGCAACCTCCATTTGCTGTCGATGTCGACAATTTCAGGTTTACTCCTCGAATGCAAAGGCTGAATGAACTAGAAGTGAGTATTTGAAGTTTTAAACTAAAGATATATTTTAATAAGAAACATATACAGGGCTCTTCAAAATTTATGCTGTGCTCATCGAAAGTAGGTTCAGCATGCATCAAGGTGAACCTTTTGATATGGGAACACTGTATTGGTAGTTCTTCAAAATCTGGAAAACTTACAACAGCATCGTACACAAATTTTTTTACAGATGCGATGAATCTGTACGTATAAGAGAACAAATTTCTTCTGCTGATTGACTCGTGGGGAGGACAAACAAATCCGCAATTATACGACAAGCTCTTCCAAGATGAAGAACAATTGCCAGCGTGTAGCATCAAATTAATTCCTTCTAAATGTACTCCACTGGTGCAAACCTGCGATGTATAGTTAAAAAAATACAAAATTGCTCTTGTCTCATTGAGCAAGAAAAAGAAATAACTTCCCAAGAAGAATGCATAAAAATACTTTCAATTGTTCATCATCAATTATCCGTGTCAATATTCAGTAACATGTTATGTTACGCGTGGTTCGCTTCTAAACTTTGCAATAAGAGAGAATGCTTTATGAATGTCAATCAAGTATGTTTTTCTATGGTGACATTGAAACAACAATGTGTTTGTAAAAGATGTGGCATTTATGACGTGCTAGATGCAGAAATATTTATTGTTCCCCTGTTTCTACGATAAATATCCTCCTGACACATGTAAATCATCGAATGTCAACGAATAAAGTTTTGAATTTTCATGTACAAATTCTTTTCACATACATGTTAATTACAATCCCTTGTTGAAAGGTCCGAAATTCCAGTTTTTTTACCTTTTCTATGCCTTTTGCCTATACATAAATAAATAAAATAAATTATTCACCTCTTTGTGGGGAAAAAAAATAATATAAAAATTGAGAAAAAGACTGGGGAAAAAAAAGTCTCCTCACGGAAAGTCGAACCCACGATTATCGAATTACTACTCCGAGCTCTTACCGCTACGCCAACTGCTGCTTGGCAAACATGCTAACGAAAATGGCTTGTATGGTGTAAAAGCCGCATCAGCATTTTTATTTTATAAATGCTTGGCCATCTGGAGTTCCCACTTCGGGTACTTTCAGCCAAGCCCTGCATGTTGTATAAATTTGAGCAAAATCGATGATTATGAGTAGGTAATGCCCCCTTGTCAAGCTTTTTATTGTTGTTTTCTTTGGGAACAATGAAGATTTGTATTGAGTTGATAAGTATTAATGAAGATTCGTACTGAGAATTAAATTCAGGCAACTAAAACTGTCCTGAGCCCCAGTTGCTGTACACTTAGCTCGGGACGTATATGTCCCATCACCCGGGAAAAGGTTAATTCACATATATCTTAGGAAATCTTGAATAAAAAACTGTAATTTTTTGCAGGTATGCTCAGGAATACATCTACTTGAAAGTAATGTTAACAATTTTAAAAGTTATTGAAAAACTTATAAATATTACTTGAAAAATACAAATTTTTAAAATAAATTAGAAAATGCCTGTGAATTTTATTTGGATTGAACCTAAATTTTGAATTGTGAAAGAAGGAATCAAGTAAGTTTAATAAACAAAGATATACTAATAAATATACATCAAATTTAATTAACATTGAGGAGCTAAAATTTTTTAAAAAGTACTTGTGTGATTTTTACAAAACTTGGCACTTTTTCAGTTACAATTTCAGTTGTACAATTGAAATAAGAGAATAAAAAAAAAAAATGTATGTCATTTAAGAAAAAATTCGATTTTATGTCAAAATACCTATGTTAGAACAATGCCGAGTTTACATTAAGAAAAATATATATGTTATGGCACACTTTTGAGACATAAAAAGCTCAAGTTAAATGTTGTAAATCGGCCGAATAGAGCAGGAAATTGGAACTTTTGCCTTGCCCCCCCTTTTTTTGTGCAGAGTGTACATACCTGAGTTTTTTGCCTATCTTTGTCCCTAAAGGACTGTTCATGCTGGGTTTTTATCTGAGTTGCTATGTTTTGACTAGCTCTGCATGAACTTTGATCACTTTCAGTTGAAGATTCTTCAATAGGGTTCATACAGTCCTTAAAAGTCCTTAAGTTTTTTTAGAATCGATTTTTGGCTCTTAAGAGTTCCTAATTTTGGCCAAAATCAGCAGAAGGTCCTTAATTTTAATCATCAGAAATGTCTGTTTGTTTTTACAACTGACATTTTGAGTGTGAATTATCATTTTGGAGGAATAAATATATTTGGTGATTCACTGATATATATGGTTATCTTTTGAATGGGTTTATGGATTATAATTTGTTCCTATTTCTAATATAAATGGTGGGGTACTGGAGTTTCTAAGCAAGAAGTGGAACATAAGCATTTCGGAATTCATTTTTACCAAAAAGAGCTCTTAAACAACTTTTCGCCTTTATTAGCCTCTTCGTCATCCGTAGCACGTTCAAGTGAAACATCCGCAGGGCGGTTGTAATGCACCTCGAGCGTTCTTCTACGGTGAGAGATGGCTTCAATGTCTACTCAACAGGAAAAGAGAAAAAATGAGGTTGTGAATTGGAAGAAGGGTATACGTTTGATGAGTACAGTCCATAATAACTCGATGATTGATGTTGGAACACGGAAAAGAACTGTAAAAAAAGCAATAATTGTAAAAGATTACAACAACAAAATAGGAAGAGTAGACCGCCTGGATCAGATGTTATCAAATTATCCTGGTGTTAGAAATAAGCAGAGATATTATTTTTCCATTATTCTTTATTTCCTTATAATTTTACTTAATATTCATTGACATTCATCCACTATGAAAGTCATGTATGGAAAGTTATTATGTACAGAGAAAACAACATTACACGCTATGAAAAACAGATGGCCGCTGGGCGGAAGCCTTCGCGGACAGGAGAGGACGACGAAAGGATTAAATGGTTTCGATTTTGGTGACTTATCAACATTTGGCGATTTTAAGATCAGTTTCTATAGAAAGTTTTTAATTCCGATATCTAGGAATTTTTGACGATTGTTTTTAAAACATTGTAACGTTGATAAATTTCATTAAAATAATAGTAATATATTTAAAATTAACATTAAAATAAAGCATTTTTATTTTTTGCTTCATATTAAAAAGGTTCATTTTGGCAACTTATAATACAATATTTTGAGATTTGAAAAATAAACAAGGTATAATGTATAGAAAATGTATGTATAAAGCACAATTTATGAAACAGTTCTTAGCAAAAGCAAAATTAGCTATGTAATTAATTGAAAATGTCTTCTTTTTAATTTTTTCATAGTAAGAGTTTTTCCCATGTAATCATATCAGAATATTCAGCAGTTTTCTCCATAAAATTAATTTTACACTTTTTCCCTCCCCTCTCCTTTTTTTTTTTTTTTTTTTTTTTTCAAAATATTTCTGACTTTTTGCTGTTATAGAAATGGTAGGGATAATTTTTTTTTAGAATTTTAGACATTGGAGCTTGGAAAGTTTAAAAGAATTTGAAGGCAAGATTTATAGACCCACGATTCTCGAAGATTCCAGAGATATGTGACAAAATAAAAAATGTCTCCATATTATTAACACGTAATGGATGTATTTTACAGGAAGGTTTGCGATGAATTTCTTAATTTTTGGAGAACGTCTGGAAGAACAATGAAAACATAATATTTGAATGTTTTACTTTTGATACCAGAATCTTTTTCTTAACATGTTTATCTTCTTTTTATTTTCTCTACTTTTCACTAGACACAAGTATGGAAAAGATCAAAAAGCTTATTGAAAACTTAGGCTTTTAAAAGATTAATCTAATATGTCTTAATGCATCATACACTGAGCTGAAACTAGGCATTTTCCCTCCTGATGCAATCTCTGTGCAACCTTTCTGCTGCCTAGTGCCTTTCTAAATTATGCTTCCAATGTCTGTTCTAAATTGTAAAAGTTTTGCCATTTTTAGATTTTGTTGCTCGGTGTGTCGCTAAATTCTAAAAAACCCGCCACACCTGCTCTGTGGCCTTATGGCTGATATGAATCGGCTAGGGGGATCAGGGCTGCGCCCACAACAACAACAACACCTGCTCTGTAACCAACCCTTACCATATATATTTCATATTTCTTCTGAATGTTCATATTACTAAAGTAATAAAATTATCCGCTTTTTCTATACATTTCAAATGCACTTTTTTTTTTTTTTTTTAATTTTTATTTTGGAATAACAGAAATCTTTAATTAAATCCAAAAATTCTAAAATGAAAAGGAAACCTGTTGAAGAAAGAAACAGAATACATGAAGAAAATTATTCTTCAAAGATATGTACAGTTATTATGTAAATTACCCAGTTGTTTATGATTTCAGCCTTTACTATAATTTCCTGTTTTTATTTCGTCGTATGATAGAGTTACTGAGCGAGTTTAAATTAAAATTAAATTGTATAATCTTTGACCACTAATAGTTTGAATTTGACTGTTCTTTGAACTCCAATTAGTAATTAATCATAATAAAGTTGTTATAACAAAGATCTGTGTGCATTGCTGTCAAAGTGATTAGTTTGTTATTCAATAATAGACAGATTAAATTGGAAAGAAAAAGGTAAATACCTTCAAATGGCAACAAACTTGTACATGAAAAATAAAAATATTTTGTTTTTTACAATGACAAAATATTTCTTTTAATATGCTGAGTTCTTTTATTAAATATCTTCTATTTTGCAAAGGGCAGCACATTTCTTTTAAATCGCTGAGCTTTCTAGTTAAATTTGATACATTATTTATTATCTTACACTTTACAGAATGGCAATACATTGCCTTTTAATTGTTGAGTTAAACAAGTTAAATTCACATAATGTGGAATGAATAATTAAAAAACAAATTTGAAATTCAAAATTTCACCTTCAAGGTGCACATGTTCAAATGGAGGACTGTTTTGAAATTTGGTGGCTCTAGGGACTGCTGTTTTTCCGCAGTGCAAGAAAGATGGTTCATTATTTAGTAATACAATTGCTGGATTAGCTATTAAACAATATAAGCACATACTTAGGG